ATTTATTTAAATTAAAAGTGAATTGCTATAAACCTCGCGGAGCCCGAGACCTTTCCAACGAATGCAAAACCGTAGAAATCGGTTCGTGCGTTCTAGAATTATAGCGTCAGGAAAGATAACGACTGATTTTTATATAGTAGATTAATAGAAACTAGCTGATCCGATGATACTTCGTACCACCTTAAAAAACCTTCCCTGTATTTCCACGTACATTTCAAGACCATAATTAGGTAAATCGGTTCAGCTCTTCTCGAGTTTTAGCGAGACTAACGTACGGAAATTCATTTTTATTTATATAGATAGATAGATAAGGACTGTGAAAAAGATATTTGAGAGAAGACACCGGGCATCCTCTTGGCTTCAATTTGGTACATTGTACACTTCTGTTAAGTTTCGTTTAGTTAGTAAAATCCATCATTACGTAATCTTTTAAATAATGAATTATATACAGTTATTACCCATAATTATTGCTAAAATCTAACTAGGCAAATGAACCACAATTATAATTAAAATTAAAATCATAATTCTAATTTTTGCTACGTTTTTTTCTTTGTGCCAAACGCTGCTTTGGAACGAGCAGTTAACTTCTCTGTTGATCTGGAATCAGCCTAGTTCCCAGTTCTATTTTAGCTAGCCCAAAATGCCTATTTCTGAATTAATTGAATGTCGTTAATTGATATTTCTTCTCAGGGTAGTCAGGTAGGAAATATCGGTTTTATCTAGAATAGTTTAATTTAATATTGACTTATAAAAGTGTTTAATTAATTATTATATTTTTGGCTTACTCGCGTAACTGTTCGACGAGGAACTCGACTAGTTTCAAGCTATGCTAGAGGCTCATAATCATGAGCAGCATTCCGCGAAAGTCGTCGCGTCGCGAGTCATAAACTTAAGAATTAATTTAGTATGTCTCACGAAAGTTTTAATAGAAAATTGTTATTTTTATAAATATCATTTGTCATTCAAAACACATGCTTTAGCTTTGAGAAGGTATACTAAAGTTATTTACAGTCAGTCGGTCCCTTTTTAATTACTCGTAATTATCTGTAATGGGGAAAACACGGTGTTTCCACGGGTTAACCTTTATTATATTGTTCTATACAGACCTTTGCATCTTTCCCTTTAATATCGTCTTTTGGCAATAGATTACAAGACTTTTGTAACGCAATCAATTGGGCCCTTAATCAAAATAAGGTATTTGACTGTTCAATACAATAAAAAAAAATATATTAAAAAAAATAATCACACTTTCATTCATTGATTTTATAACCAACTCAATTTTAATATCTTCCAAGCATTTTTTTAAGAAATAAGTATACTGTTTGACGCTAAACAACGTGACGTCACAATACATAATCGCGTACAAAATACTTAAAAACAGTCGTTTTAGACAGTTCGAAAAAATTATTGAATTTGACTAGTTGGCAAGTACCCAATTACAAATGAATGTATTTGACAACTAACGCATTTTCCAATGCAAAGGATAATTTTGAAATTTGACATACTTCCATACTAAAAAATGTCAAATGTCAATTTTATTCTATAGTTAAGAAATAAATAATGATTGAAAAATCGGCCCTAAGAAAAAGTAAAGGTAGGTACTGAATGAGTATCAAATAAGAAATCTATTTAGATAATTAATTAAGTAGTTGCCCTTTTCCTACGGCCAAGTCCATTTTCTGTTTACTTTTTTATTACTGGCCAAAAATCTAATTAGAATATTCTAAAAATACTGTTTGAAAACAAAACCTTGTAAATAAAACTTCTTATTAATTTTTATTTTATTTTATTTCTCGCTCTTTTCATGTTTTGTTACATTGTAGTATGAATTTTTTTTTCGAATTATTAAATTTGTTAAGTGTGACGAATTGGAAAAATCTTATATTAAAGTCAAAGTCAAAATCAAATATGTCAATTACACAAGAATGGGACTTTCGAACGTCAACAAAAAAAATTAAAGTGAAGCTATTTGCTCATTTCAAGGTGTAGATGAGAGATGAGATTCAAGGAGAAGAACGAGCAAGAAACTCCATAGGCTAGTCGTTTTCAATCAGGATCACAATACAATTCTCTAGTTACAAGTTCAGTACATACAGTCCCCTAGTTAACAATAGATAATACTTCAAAATCAAACAAACATCATAATTATACGCTAATATCATATTTTTGTATTTTCTATCGTAATATCCTAATATCTAACAACCCTAATTTCCTAAAGTAGGAAACGACATCTATCACAATGTTTCATTGTTCTAAAACTTAACATTTCATTTTTATAAGCTTTTATTACAATTTACATTATTCAATATAAAAACTATTTTGTATATACATACATATGTTACCAGTAAACATGTGCCAAACTATTATGATCTACTTATTACCTAGTTAGGCCTCTTAATAGTACTTATTTGAAATACCCAATTTAATAGACAAGATGACCTATCATATAGAATAAAATAACATCGTAATCTGACATCGAAACATCGCGTAACATTCATCAAAAGACAGTGTCCACTTATCAGGCCATCCCAGTTGTCATTCGCTGTTAACTTGAACCAAGTTCCATTAACGCTATTTAAACGGGAGACTCAAAGCTAAAGCCAAATTGGAAGAGTATTTATCTTTCCCGAGAGTCGATTTAAAAGCAAAATCACGCGAGCACACGACGCCATTATCGGGACCGCCCGATCCACAGGCCGCGGCAACTCTATGAATCTAATCCAGAGGATTTACTCGCTGATTTACAGTCGAGCGAGGCCAAGGAGGGCGCGAGCTGCTTGAAAGAAAACTGATAATGTCTTAATCCTACCACACTCGACTTTACTCGTACCCCCCTTCACAATTTTATGGTCGCCCGCGCAGACGGCACGTTTTGATTTATGATTTCAATAATTAAGAATTCTAAGGTGCAATTTGAATTTGGAAGCCACGGCTGAGGGGCCGCGGGAGGCCGACGCGTGTTTATTATTGCTCCAGGGCGGGAAAGGGTCTCAGCTCTTACCTCACGTTTTCTAAGGAATTATAATAGAGTTTTAAGGAATTATGAGAAATTATGAAAATGAGATTTTCAACAATAGCTGCGTTCTTGAGCTTATTTGTTATGATAAATGTGTGTTACGTTCATATTTGTGGGTACAGTTTATTGTTGATGAGGACTTATGTGAATAGTGTAAATCATAGCCACAGATGTAGGTATTTTTTAGGTACAATACATCGTCTTTATTTGCTTAGGTACTTAAATACTTAACTAAAAAAAACATGTTGACCTACATTAAAAAGTTCAATCGTGGTGTATGTAGATACATCATGATGAGTAAATAGTTACTTTCTCTTAATTACACAACTCAAAAACACAATGAAATACTGCCATAAAACCAAAAACGTTAATTAAGTTACTACCAAAACCAAAACAGTATCACTTCGCCATATAAAGCAGTCACGTCTCATCTCGGCATCTTCCTTAATCCGGCCGCGTTCGGCTCCGCAAATTCGCACCGCGACCGCCCTTATATCGCGCCCTAATCTCCAGGCATTACAATTAACGCGGCCCCGAGATAACCCGCCACTCGCCACCCGCTGATAAAGGTCCGCACGAGCACTAGTTTAAACCGGTTAAGCATCTACCGCCCTCAGGGTTTATCTAATTACCCTACGCCAACATACGAACACAACCCGAACGCGAAAACCAACGTTCCGTCCCAATTCCGACGCCTGAAAACGCTCCACGTTTACGTAATTTCGGTTTACATCAGTACAGACTTGAGGGTGCGTCACGTACGTAAATGTTTGCCGGGCGTCGTACTATCGGTATTTCGGCCTTCCGGTGGGCTCCCCGTAGGTACCTCCGTCAAGGACCATCGATTACAATCTCGACTCGAGTCGGGCGCATATTGCACAACTTCGAGAGAGAATATCGCCGATCAATAAATCAAGCCCGATTGCTTTATGGAGTTATGGGCCCAACTTTATTGTTGGGCTCGGAAAACACGTTTATATTGAGGACGATATTGTCTGTTGAACTCTAGTGTGTTATTCCAAGTCGGTAATGAATACGAATTGAGTCTAGAGATGAGTAGGGATTTATTAGGAACTTCACATCTATACGAAGTAACATCAAGTTGGAAGTTTTCTGTTTTCGTGTGTGTGTGTGCGTGTGTTGTGTGCTTTTGGTTATTTCCAAGAGTAGTATGGTGTGAAAGAAGAATGTGAATAAAATAAATCTAACTTATCAAGCAACTAATTTTAATAATTGTTTACTTATACGAAAATAGTCTAGTAACAGTTTATCTATTTATAAGACCTCCGTTGTAAAAATACTCTTTCGAACAAATTAAGCTATACAACCTCAAACCAAAACAAACCTGAAAGCCATTAAAGAAACAAAAAAAGTAAACAAAAATAGTCACATTGACACACTTACTTCAAAAACTTTTCTGGAAAGTTTTACCTAAGTTTAATTTCACTGATAAAAAGTTTAAAAGCGAAGAAATACTAGAAAACAAAGTTAGGTATTAATCTGAAATGCGTGGTGCGACGTTCCTTGGCTCTCACGGTAATACCTTGATACTTTCTTCGACTCATCGGCGATAAATACTAACCGTTGGCGTTGGATAAAAATCAAAATAACCTAGCTTTAAATTAGTCCTACACCATTTAAGTTACCAAATACCGAATTTTAAACTACTTTACCCGTAATCTATGCTTAATTCCTACTATGTCTTACGTCGTCAACTATGACAAAATTATATATTATTTGGTTTGAAAGCTCTTGAGTGAAATGGTTTTTACGTGGGAACGATTTTTGTGCAAATAAATAAAAACAACAAAGTGCTTCTAATGTGATACGTCGATTGGAAACGCCGAGAATCATTTCCGCGTAAAAATTTCTGATTGTGGATGGAATAATCGAATCGCAAGTACAATGATTCATTATATTTTTGGTGTTATTTGATACAATCGTCGGGGTCTGGGGCCGCTTCTGACTATATCAATTGTTTCAGGACGGTGCCGCTAAACACTCAAGCCTCCTTGTCCCAGATCAACAAAAGGAGATTGGAGTTCGGCGTGGATGTAGAATCATTTAAAATAAACGATAGACGCCTGGAGCGCATCAGCAGTGAAGGCTCCATGGACGAGGAAGAAATCCACGGCAAGAGAAGACGACGGCTCCTAGACGACGAGAGAAGAGATGAACCTGATATTCGTCGACGACCATTGCCCATGCACAGACCTCAAACCCTGCGGCAACCCGAAGAAGATGACGAGACACTAATCAGAGAAACACAAGCGGCTTTGAGAACATTATCCGGCAACTGGAACCGAGAACCCCCGCAACAACACAATCCCGAGGAAAATGAAGACGCCAATGGTTTCGAAAACTTATTTGATGATAAAAGATCTGAAAAAATGCAGTCTTCCCCTTCCCAATCTTCCGATATGTCTCAAAAAAGTTACTCGACACACCATCAAGTTCAACATATAAATGGAATCAATGAACATGAGACCAAAACTAACCTTATTACGATACAACTAGAAAAGTGTGAAGAGTATGATAGACTCAGTAGACAGTCTAACCAATATGGAGCGCCAAATTTCGACGAACTCGTCGACTCGTCTTCCAACGAACTAGAAATAGATATGTCAGATAGATGTGATGATAGATACGACGATGACAGGGACATTAAGCCAAAACGAAAGGGTGAAATGGTGTCTGTAAATAAACAGTCGCTGTACAATGCTTACAAGGCTGCTACGGCAGCTTTACCATATTCGACACAATCGGCCTTCAAGCCGCCTGCAGAAGTGAAACATAGAATCCACAACTCATCATTACCCAGTGAACCTTTTGGAGGGTACTCCAACGACCACGATAGAAAGGAGCACAAAGGTTCGAAGCAGTACACGGTGCTGCAGCCCGCGGGCGCAGGGTCCCGTGCAGCGACCGCGCTGCAGGAGGCGCGCGCCGTGCCCTCTGCGCAGCCAGCGCGCGACTCGCGGCCGCTGAACGCGCTCTCCCCGCCGGCACGAGGTACCGCCGCACTCACCTCAAACAACGATAGCCAAACTTTCTTAACGACCTGGCCATAACACACAACTCCGCGCTATGAACTAACTCCAAGTTTGTTTCAAGGTCGTCTCGCGAAATCTCATAACATAGCCGGGTCGATGTTCACTACAGCTGTCATGTAACATTGCATCATTGCGTAATTATGTGCACTTTAAATAAACTTAAGACTTTCATTCATGGGATTATCCGGCCGTTATTCGGTATTAACATTGGAATCGTTTGTCATCAACTTACTGTAGGTTTACGTAAATACAGACTCTAATTCGCAACAAAAGCTTGCAACAAATCATCTCTCATTTGTAAGACGTCTCCACAATTTAGTAGGAGACGGTCACAATAAGGTTATACTCCCACCTAAGTCGATAACGTATATAAAATACCTAAGCGTTTTCCTCGTGTTGCTGGGCGATAGCTGGGTTTATGTCAGGGCGACGAGCAATAAAAACGGGTCAGGACTGGCGGTGGGCGGGGCGTTGGCGCACCGCCCCGCAACTCCTGAAAGAAAAATTGGTAGTCCGCGCGCAGCCGCTTGGCGTTCTTTATTTTTTCTTTTAAGTTGTGCGTGGGGTGGGTGGCACGCGGGGCGGGGCCGCGCAGGTACGCCCCGGCCTCGGCACGCCCGTCGGTATCGATCGCTCGCGCACGCCCCCACCCGCTCATCAGGAAAACACTAATTTGTGCACCGCTCGATTTGTTCACAGAAGGCAACAAGTGTCCTACACCCGGGTGCAATGGGCAGGGCCACGTCACCGGCCTATACACTCACCACAGGAGGTGAGTGCTCACTCGATGATTTTCAGTAGAGCTCCACAGAATCAACAGATACAAACCCGGTTTCAGGGAACCGATGCTCCTCCCGTAATACATAACGAGTAACTAAAAGTGTAAGGATAGACATTAGACATTGAATGATATAGTATAATGTATACTACACTATTTACATACTTCAAATCAAGTCTTAGGAGACTAACTATACTTTAGTAGTATTAGATACTGAACTTAACACTTTGTATGCGTAAAGTTATAGCAAAACTGATGTTTATTTGTTCCCCCAGTCTGTCAGGATGTCCAAGAAAGGATAAAGTCACTCCGGAGAGTAAGTAGAAGTGAAATATAACAACATACAGCTTCACAGTTTGAGTTGCATTATATTTTGTTCTAGCAGTTTTACCTCAGTTGTTACTTCAAGTATTTTAGTTCTCATGTTTACTTTAGTTTTCTTTGGTTTTCAGTTGCAATTTTGATGTTCGTAGATTGTTGTCGTATTTGTGAACATATTTTTTATATATTGAAGTCGTTTAGTTGATTTGTGAAGGTAGAATTTTAAAGTTGTTCGTAAAGTAAACTATTCAATTATGAATTGAGTTTTAATCAGTGCTGCATTACGTGCGTACGTATGCTTTTTGTATTGCTTGGATTGTACTGAGAAGTGACGTCATTGTCCAGTATTGGCGTTGCACGAGACGATATTGAAGTGCCCCACGCCGGGGTGCAACGGGCGCGGCCACGTCAGCTCCAACCGAAGCACACACCGCTCCCTGTCCGGCTGTCCTACTGCTGCGGCGCGTAAGGCCGCCGCTAGGTCTCAGAGAGCCAGACCTGCTGGTAAGAACCTCTTTTTTCATATTTCTTGCTTCTGTACTGAAGCTATGAAATTGTTTTCTTTCTTTCTCTTTGCTCTTTAGTCGTTCAAATTAGAAAAAGACACATAATTATATAGCTTCAATATTTCAGATTATTTTAAAAATGAATGAAAACATATTTACTGAACTGAATCTGGTGAACATTATAAACGTTCTTTTCTTAGTTCATATGACAGTATAAGTGTTTTTTTTATACTTATGCACGATCAATTAGGACAACAAAAGCAAATAATGAGATCAATAAATTAGTACTAATGTTATCGTGTAGTATGAAAGTACTCATAGCGAAACTAACAGAGCAAGACTTAAAATTCTTCATCTACAACAGATTCCTTATAGCAGGACCTATATATTCTCCAACAATCCAAAGCAATATCTATCTTGTCTCCAGTATCACACAGCTCAATATCGCAGCCACCAATCGCAATCAGCCAGGAGAGTGTAGCGAGTTCTTCGGGCAGTATTTCTCGGGACCGCGAGGCGTCGCCTCGCAGCCCCGCCGTGAAGCGAGAGGGCGAGCTGCTGGTGCCAAAGCGCGAGGCCGCCGAGCCCGAGCGCGACTCCCCCAGCATGGAGACGCGCCACGCCGGCTACGGCGCGCCACCTGACCAAAGGTCCCCATATGAAAGACCCCCCGATGACCATGTGCGGTCGTACAGGTAAATTATTGTTATTCCACAATGTTAGTGCAGATAGCAAACAAAATAAACAGGATAATTGTTTGAATTAGTTAATACACTCTTCTAACCAAACAATAGGAATGCAAAAATTGTTAAAATAATATTTGAATACTTGTTTTGTAAAATAATCTGTTATGTTATCTGCCTCAATATTACAAAAATGTAAACAATGGGACAACATTTACTATGTCAGCTTATATCTAGGTATTAACCGCAACATTAAACTAATTATTTATTCGCTTGTATACATTTCTGTATATTTGGAAAGCTACAATTAGCTGACTACTGAAATTTTTATAATATTATAGCAAACTGTTCAAGTAATTAACCAGTAATATTATTAAGTTCAAGGTTAATTTAATTAGCGTTCATAATGCATAATGCTAATTACATTAGTTGGTATACTAATATACTTCATACCTTAAACTAATGCCTTTGTCCAATTTAGTAACAAATTACTACGAATACACGTACTAATGAAAGAGTAATGTTTGTAACAAATAAATATGAACAAAATTATAACGATTCTACCATGTACATATTGGCATTACTACATTTAAATGGAGAGGGTTATCACATAGTAATTCATTTCGTAGTCAAATGAACGAGGCGAGGTATGGCTACGAGTCGCGGTGCTACGAAGGAGCTCCAGCGTTCGAGCGCTATGACCCCGCACAGTGCCCCCAACGGCCCTACGGCTGGGAAGAAGAACGCTACCATGACCCCCACTTACCTACCCCCATGAAAACCGACCAGTCTGAACAAGAAACCAGCTCAGGACCCATATACCCTAGGTAGGTCACAACAACAATGCCGAACGCCTATGTGGTAAACGGGGTGCTTAGATCCTTGACTTTCCAAAAACTTAGACTATTCGAGCAAAATAGTAAAATAGCGATGTAGATTTCGGTTTTTGTTTTCCTCTTACGAAATGATCGAAATTGGCCGTACCTATCCCACCAGACCAATGTACCACTACGAGACTGGTAGCGGCGTAGGTGCGGTGGGTGGCGTGGCGGCGATGGGCCCCGGCGTCCCGCCCGGCTTCTCCGCGATCAACTTGTCTGTGAAGATCGCCGCGGCACAAGCGCAGCGACCTCGGAGCCCCACGCCCCGGGATCCTCGCGATCCTCGCCCCGCCATAGATCTTTCCACTTCTAGTGGTAGTCCACAGGTGAGAAACGACGCCAAGCATTAGACGAACCGGCCCATAAGTTAATTGCCCAAACTAAATAAATTTTCATAACAGGGTCCATACGCATCTCCGGTGTACACAAGCGCCGGTGGTGGCAGCGGGGGCGGTGCCCGAGGCAGCCCGCAGCCGGGAGCCTCGCCTCAGCTCACAGCCAGCCCTCAAGTGCCCAGTCCGCAGGGCCAAACTCTCGACCTTAGCGTTTCCCGTTTACCACATAGGTGAGGCAATTCGTTCTGTAGGTTTAACTTATGTAATAATAACCCAACTCACTATGGAAAATTAAACAAACTTATTTTTCAACAGTCGAGGTTTCCCCGGCGGAGTCTCCTACAGTCGAGAATCAACCCCAGACAGTGGTGGCAGTCATCCGTACCTTGAAGCTTACCATCGAGACACCGCCGGTAAGAAAATAAATCATTATACAAATTACCATCAGAGCATATAATTTTCTTAGCTCATTTTGCTCATTTGTATGAGCTATCATATGTCTCATATTCTCAACATGTAACCCCTCGTAAGGGCTCGTACTCATTGGTACCGTTAAACACGTCGTACAAATTAAAACGCGACCGCGGTAATGACTCCCATGCGTTGTACGCGCGCGGTAACCTCGGTAATCCGGCGGAGTGCAGACACGCGGCCCGCTCTCAGCGCCGCGGTTACATGCCAGTGTACACCGCGGTTTTTGTGGATCACTGTATACGAAGCTTTAATTAAAATTTATAATAGCTACTGGATTCTCACGGCGCTCGCCGTATTCTGTAAACCGCGCCGTACAACATGAGTGGGACTCGTTTTATAATGTACACAAAAGTTTCCCTCGCGAGGTTTTTGTTATAATTATAAATCTTGCGAACTCGAGGGTTGGAGTAATAATTATGGAATACTTGATTAGAAACTGAGCATATCGAAGTACATACTGATATGGATGGATATCTAATATACTAACTATTAATAAAGGGGAAGCTACGTCTACATTCATAGATAATCCAGTCTTTACTCTGCCACGAAACAAATGTGTAATGAAAAAGAATTCATGCAATTTCATCATTGACAATTTAAGCAGGCAAAGACCACAACAATTATTCCTTGTCATAGGTTACGGTGGTGTCAGTCCACATCCCGTAGCGGGTTACGGGCTAGCTCAGCCAGACTATGCGGCGGCAGCTGCGGCGGCTGGCTATGGTGGCTACCAGTACCAATGTGGAGCATACCCGCCGCCGCCAGCGTACCCGCCGCACGCACCGCCGTACTCCCCGCCGTGCTACATGCCACCCCCACACGCCCCGCACGACAAACCCAAAGATAGCAGGTGAATATAAATATAGTAACATTTATTCTAGCGTTGTTTATTTTACAATTCTTGATCAATATTTTCTGATACATATATTGTATTATTTGGTAACGTATATCGTCTGAAAGGCAATTTAGTGACCTTTGTTTGCTCTGTTTCTTTAATGAAATAGTGTAGTTGAAACTTGGAACTAAGGTCTTATGGTCTTGACTATTGGATTCATCGACGTCATTGGACATTGGTGATTACAGTGCAATGCTAATGTCAAGTCCTTAATAAGTGTAGCATTAATTAAATAAACTAGATCTTATACACTATTTTTGTCTGATGTCCTCCATAATATGGAACTTGTAATTCGTCACTGTAGCATAGATCCTCACGAGATCTCATGTGTTACATTTATCGGAATTTTACCGTGGTTCTGGAAAATTACAGCGCTCCTAAGACCAAGGGCAAAGGCTTGTTTCCTACGCAACCTTAGGACTTTAGTCACGGCTTAAATTGCGTATTGTAAAAGTATTTAAAGGCCTTCACAAGCCTACATCTAACTAAACAACTTGTCCGGCTCCACGACCTTGAGACTTAGAACAATTTCTAGGAAGTTCGCTTGTTCAAGGTCGTCTAGTATTGATGTGTAGTCAAGGAAACCTGGACTTAAAATTTTAAACTATAAGTTTGAAATCGCCTAATCCAACTTGAGCTCGCGTGGTATTTAATGCTCATTCGGTCTCCGTGTGAAGAAACCCTTTTGCTTCGCAGTAAGATGGCTAGGAATAGGTTAATCATGATGTGTAGGATGTGTTAATTATTATAGGCTATACGTCGATACTATAGTATATAGTAAGTATATAATAAATAGTTTTAAGATGTGTGTAGAAATGTAATTATTCCCTAATGAGTTGCGGAGGTCAGACGTGTGTCACTCCATAAAATATAAATGAGCAACTAATCATACATGAAGCCGTTTGAAAATCAGAATTATGTTAATTCCGCAGCAGTGATACTATAGCAAATAGTCTTTCTGTGTTTTTACCGGGGGGCTATTTTACGACATTGTTGTATTTTTCGTCTCAAATTAATGGTACCTACCTATATCTTATTTATTTGCATAATTATTGTCTGTCAATATTTCGATTCTCAAAGATTGCATATTTTATATTTATGAATTATGTGATTTCATCATATTCGCGGGCTTTAACTTTAAACGTTATTTTTACACTTTATAAAAAATTACCACATGGAACTTTTCTCTCTGTACGGAATATTCGTCTTTATACTTTAGGGCAATAAAGACGAATTTCTAGAACTTAATGTTTGAGTAGAAGCAGGTAGGGATATTTTTTTTCATTCTTTTATAAGTTTCATTTCTTCATTATTGTTTTTGGTCGCCAATACTTTTGAAAAATGAATACATTTGTAATACTCTATTCTCAGCTTACGTGCATTATGGAAGTTAGGAAGTACCTACAAAACCCGAAAATATCTTTATCTTTTCACTTTCCAAAATAATATACTGAGATAAGATACCAACTAATTAGTTGTTAACAATTTATGGGCATGACGTCTCATTTCTGCATTTCTGATTACGGAATTCAAATGTTGTTAGTCAGATGTTGTACTCGGCAGAGGAAACACGTCTGTTCTTCCACTACTGTCAGTACGTAGGTACGTACTTCCTTTTATTACTTTAAATAATAAAAATATAAAAGACTCAGTGCCCTTTCGCAGCTGCTACACAAGTGTGTTCGTATTGAATCCATCATAACGTGTTTTCTTTTGTTGATCGACACAGTATGAATGACGTAAGTGAAAACATTCAACACTTGGCCGCCTTGGCTCCTACTCAGTGTGCGTTCGGATACTCGCAGAAAATGTTTAGCGTATCTTTTTAATTTCTTATCTGTGGAAGCTGTCAAAGTTATGATTGAGTTTATGATGACTATTGTGAGCTGTTAATATAAGTACTTAATATTTTTTAACTGTGGTGCTTAATTTTAAACGAGATATGGTGATATAGTGTGTGTTTGTTTATAAACAATATGACTAAGCAATTTGATCTTGGGTATGTATTGTGCCTTAATTATGAACTTTATCAGCAAATCTAGTGACTTTGTAGGTACTGTTTGACATTTACAGATACAGACGTATCATTTCCGCGGCGGTTGATTTTAAAATAGCGATAATAGTTGATAACATTTGATTCGTAGTTATAAAAAAATAAAAAGAAATCATCTAATCGAAGTCCATAGGAGTATTCAATACGTATTTTTTATATTTAAAACTTTCAAAAGACATTTTCAGTTTATTGTATTATATTTAACACTTACTTAACTACAGTACAGAAAAACAAAACAAAAAAAAAATAACACGTGACATAAATGCGTGCTCATTTAAAATATCCCACGTAGATTTTTTCAGTAAGAACAATTACAACGCCGTAAAGTTATTTTAGGTTAGAATAACTCTATTGAAAGTTTTCGAACGTACACAAGTCACACTTGGTGGATCAGTCTAAATATACCGGCGGCGGCCGCGCAGGCGCGCTGTGCGAGCTGCGCGCACGCCAGATAACTAACTACACACGAACGATAAGATACATACTTTAAATTATATTTGTGCCACTTTCCTGCCGTTATTATTAACAACGGCGCAGATATGCGGCGAAATAGGTGAGAACAAAAATTGTTTTATTACTTTTTTTCGTATTCTAAATTTTTTTATAGTTTTCCTATCATCGAATACGTAAACACAGCACCAAGTAGCTATTATTACCAACTTTGTAAACATTTAAAAACTTCGCTCCATGAACTAGATAACATTTTTGGAGGCAAAGTTTTAGTTTACAAACTTTTTCTGTAGTTGTGTTGTCATTTAAATCTTCACCGGGTTTCAATTGGAGATTGTTAGGTACAATATCTATTATCTTTTTAATGTTTTCTGTTTGTTTTATTTTTAACATTTTCCTTTATTATTATTTTTTGTTCAATACTGTTACGTATCTATTTATTCACGCTAGCTATCACCGCGACGACTTTTATGGGAAACTGAGTTACCGGATACGGGAGTCGAGGGAGCTCATCCAGTGCCCTGTCGAGAGCTGCGACGGCTCCGGCCACATTTCTGGCAACTTCGCGACACACCGCAGGCAAGCGGAGTCATTGCTGAATACGTTCGCGGTTGCAATATCTGCGGCTGTGCAAAATTTGAACGTCGAACAATATTTTTTTTTTCTTTGCAGATTTTTTATTGCATTGTAACCGAGAATGACCATTAACATTTTAAATCACCAGAACTCTACATAAAATATTATAACTTCTTTGTCGGTTGACTGAAAATTACGATTCAGATTACTTATGACTGTTATCGTTCAGTTTAACTTTCTTGTTATTTTTCTCTGCAATACTTATTGGATTTTAATAACTGAAATTGTTCCAAACAAATATTGTTCGATGTTTCACGTTTGTACAGCTAAGTAGAGCGTCAACAATTGCGCCCCTGAGCGACAATTTGCGCATTTCCGCGCCAATTGGCGGCGTCCCACGGGATTTTGATGCAAACTAACCGCATGCCTTTATTAATATTCCTCGTTTGAGGTCGAGCCATAACAATGTGTTACGCCTTGTTACTCTAACAATATTGCGTGTTCTAGTTGTGTGTGCAAATAATTATAATACCTAATTACAAATACTAAATAAACAATATCGTGATAAAGAGAACGTGAAAGACACTACGTCACATACTTGGTCTATAGGACCAAAGATCTACTATCGCCCACCTGATAAAAATTACATTATACAGTATATAGGTAGCTGCAATCGGTGGTGACAGAATTTTTATCAATTTAAAATCTTATGACGTAGAAGATAAGGTGTGTTTTTATGAAGCAGTTAGTCGTTACTTACGTAGGTCGCCTGCATCATTATTTGCATATGTTGCGTATGACTTAGTGCCTCGTGAATTCGTTACTCTACTTTTGTTTTCAAAGATAAGTACATAAACAATGACAAAACAATGTCGCAGCTCTATGCTAATGACTGTTAATACTACTTTAAGAGATTTCAAAACAACTGAATATTTTAGAAATCACGTAGCAACCATTTACCATTCTTCATACATCCTAATTAATTTTATTTCCAGTTTGTTAAAGATAATCGATTAACAATGAAGTTGAATCGAATCCTAAAATCGTATTCTATCCACATAATTTTAATCAATTACAGTTAACTATTTATTAAATCAGTTATATTACGAAAATAAAAAAAATAATACTTAACTTGAAGCAAACAGTTAATTGACATACTTACTTACTAGCTACCTACTATTCGCTTCTCTATCAATTAGCGCATTAACAAACAAATAAGTTTACGCTAATCGTCATAATAGACTAGATAACTTAACCTCCTTTGCTACAAGAAAATAAAAAGAAAACATCTTAGACTAAGCTCGAATGATTCTGGCACCTTTATTTTTGGATACTAGTACTATTCGAAAAACGAAAATCTCCTTGTGTGTTCTAAATTTAAATTCAAATGCGTTAGAAGTAAACTAGCAGATGCATGCCAGCCGACCGAACTATTTTTATGATTACCAATAAATTGTAAAATGAATCTTATTTCTTGGAGTAATAAAATAGTTGAATCTTATGAAAATACACGGAGTAATTCTGATTTTGTTTTGATCGAATCGACTGCACATATTGGTCTGCGACGTGTTTGTTTACAAACATGATCGTTATGAGTTCATTTAGTTTATACGAGTGAATGAATCAATCAATTTGGTAACGTAATACCATTAGCATTTTTTTTTATTTCATTCTTTTTTAATTATGCTTCACGAAAAATATTTGTATGAAATAATCATTGAAAGTAGTAAAATAAACTTATTCTGAAACTAAAAAATACTTCTTAACCGTCTTAACTTGTTGCAAAATGGGATTATCCACTCTATGAAAATAAGTCGGCAATAAAACACGATGTTTTAAAAAGCCAATGTTCTATTTATTTAATTAGGTAGGTACGCGGTTAACGCATTTTTTAATAGTCATGTGCAACTTTACACATGACTTGGTTAAACTACCGCTCTAAATTATCTAACTTTATCGTACTTTATATTATTTTATTACGTAGATATAATAGAAACCTTACCTCTACGTACATAGAAGTAATAATGCAATGATACCAATCTTTGCATCATTAAAACTACACGTGGGTCCTTCACATAAGGCCATTTGACACATATCTATCACAAAGATAATAATAAACAGATAAAATCATACTAACAGAGATTTAGGACATACTAAAATACTGAATTAGAACCTAAGTATCTTCAATGGGTTGTTGACTTTATCACAAGTCCATAGAGTTGAAAACGGATTAATGAAATCTCGCAATATAGGGCAGCTTGATGTATTGTTGCCTCTACATAGCCATAATGTAACTGAAGGAGTTCTACTTGCCCTAATAGGCACATTGCTTTGATACTAAAGTGAATTGCGGACGTACCATATTATTTGGTATTGAAGACTTTAAATGACGAACAAAAGCATTGATACTCTGTCAATCATATCGATTCGTGATATGAATTTTAGGATAAAGTTACCTTAAGTCCTAGGCAAGAAGATTGTTATTTAACTATGGAAAGGATCTGCCGATCCTTCAGAATGGAAAAAGGTCTATCATCTTATTTATCATGAAGGTCCAGCTGTATAAAGAAAATACATGCATAGGTATTAATACCTAACTAATTGTATCGCCATTTTTAGCCATGGGTTCTAGCCTTCCACTGATTTTTTTTTAAACTTTTAAATCCGCCTATAGAAGGTTTGCTCCTTAGACTGTAAGATCTAGAAAGATCAAATCCAGCGTCGTTTTAAACTATTGCCATAGCACTAACGCATCCAGCCCAGCAGATTGTGAATCAAAATCGAAAATTCTAGATTAAGATAGTTAATAGAAAAAATCCAGCAAATGTATTGCGAGCCGCTGCAAGCTACGGTACGCTGTGCCGGCACGCCATTGTAAGCAGTCTGTTTATGTGCAGCCTGTCCGGTTGTCCGCGCGCCGACCGCTCCCAGCTGCAGCCGCATTCACAAGAGCTCAAGTGTCCCACGCCCGGCTGCGACGGCTCCGGACACGTCACTGGCAACTACTCCTCGCATCGCTCCCTCTCTGGTTGCCCCAGAGCTAACAAGCCCAAGAGCAAGCCCAGAGACGGACAGGACTCCGAGCCACTGAGGTGAGTTACCGATTTGGTTATCCGATTTTGTGGTGCTGGGTGCTTTATTGTTAATTTTGACTAACTTATGAATACCTACTATGAATTTATAGAACGTTTACTTAAACTTGGAGTTTTGCATCACCTTGTAACTTGTAAAAGTGCAAGACAAGAAAACATGTTTCCTTTTGACTTCAACTAACCTTCTACACAATAAATCTTTAATTTTTAATGGCTAAGAAATAAACACTACATGTGCAACTTTGTCACCAAACAACAAACTAGTACACGTATAAGTAATTTACTGCATTCATGTCCATTGTAATACGACACTCGACATCTGAGCTGCTCCCAACTAATTATATTCAATGCATTGTCGTAATTTATGTATGGCATTGAATTTCTAGGAGCATTACAACTAACACGCGTTGCTTTCATACATCTGACCTTCCAACTCAGTAGAAACGAAACTATTTAGAGAATACCGTATTTCTTCTGTAATCCAATAAGTTTCTTGGTTATTTCCACGCTGCTTAGATGCCCTATACCGGGCTGTGATGGATCTGGACACGCTACAGGGAAATTCTTATCGCATCGAAGGTAAGACTGATTCTCAGTGGAACGTAGATAGTTGTGTAGATTGTAGATAGTACGGTAGTGTGTGTGTATATCGAGGAAGGTTCGTGAGTTAATTTGATGGTTTTCCACTCCTCAGTGCCTCGGGGTGCCCGATCGCGAACCGCAACAAGATGCGGGTGCTCGAAAGCGGAGGCACGGTAGAGCAACATAAAGCGGCAGTGGCGGCAGCAGCCTCGGCCATTAAATTCGACGGAGTGAACTGCCCGACGCCAGGCTGCGACGGCTCCGGTCATATAAACGGGTCGTTTCTAACTCATCGCTCGCTGTCTGGATGCCCAGTTGCCGGAGCGGCGACGCCCACACCGCAACCAAAGAAGCCTAAATATCCTGACGATATCACGCCGCTATACCCAAAGCCTTATACAGGTATGTAGCTCATAATGCCAGTAAATTCGTGCTCTTCATTCTCCCAATTATTACAAATATATACTTAATATAATTATTTCAATCACAATGAAAGTCTCTTTGCCTCTCAGAATTTTTACTCTTTCAATAATATCGTGAGATTAAGACCCACAAACTTACTACAGATAATGTTCTGGCATTCAGGGATGGAGATGAATATGCAGACGGGGAACGGCGAGGATCTGATGACCCTCGAGCAAGAGATTACGGAACTTCAGAGAGAGAACGCACGCGTAGAGTCGCAGATGATGCGTCTCAAATCAGATATCAACGCTATGGAGACACACCTTTCTCATGGAGATAGGGTAAGTTATAATTTATTTCACTGAAAACTTATTACATTTTCTAATATTTCCATTTTTATTTTTGTTTCCAATTCTTGGCTTGTTTATACTTACGCACAAAAAAAGCCATGAACCAAAAAATCTTCATTGACCTAGTGAAAGATTTTAATCCATAATTTTTGTCTGACAACGTAGATGGTACTGTCATGGCTCGAAACATCCAACTTTGAGTGCTACTAACATCACACATTTTTGTGAGTACCAACTTTTTATAATTTGGTACCACTATTGAAAATAGTAGCCACTCAAAATTTACATTTTATTATTATTTGCCCGACTTTAAAATTTTAGGAAATAAATGTTGAATATTTATTTGGTGCTTGGTCTTTCAGGAAAACCAGACATTAATACAACGCAACAATAATCTGAACGAGTATTATGAAAGTCTGAGGAATAATGTGATCACACTGCTAGAGCACGTGAGGATCCCGGGCGGAGGCACGGTGCCCGTGAGCTCGGCGGGAGGCACGGCGGGCGCGCCGCCGCCGCCCGGGCCCGGGGACAAGCCGGCGCACGACAACTTCGACTCCTACCTCACCAAGCTGCAAACCCTGTGCTCTCCCGACGGCTACTGCCCCGACGAGAACCGCCCCATCTACGAAACCGTGAAAAACGCGCTTCAGGACTTCACAGTGCTCCCTACACCCATTTAAGGTTCACAAAGCGCCGCCGAACCGGAGCGACAGTGAACTTAACTGACTTGTGTGCCATCGGCGGAGCTTATCAGTGATACAGACAATGTGAATTTAGTACAATTTTGTGTTCGTGGTAGTGCGGAGGCTGTTTCGGAACTACTCACCAAAGATATTAGACAAAGACTATGACTGCATGATGTTACGTGAGGGACTAATAGTTTCGTGATAGGTATAATTAGTGTACAGTGAGTCCCGCGGGCAACGTACGGGCAGGTATTTGTGTTCTATTAAGTATTAGGTAACGATGTCTTTTGTAAACCGTTGTATACGATGTGTCCCTTCTTTATGACATCAATTAACACTCGAAGATTCGTTCGACTTTTATCTGTAAGCTGGACTATATAGACATTAAATAAATTTTAAACACTGTTACTCATATGCTTAAAATTAATGTAATTGTTAGGTGAGAAATTTATACTATTGTATGTAAGCGATTTTAGCCTCACAAACGCATGAGAATCAATTGTGTAAATATTGTACCTACATTTGGATATAAATAAATTATCATTTAAATCGCCGGCTGACAGACGTCGGTCACTTTAGGAAATTTCTAATTTCAGATCTAACTCATTTTTATCAAGCAGCAGGAAATAAAATAGCATTTAAGGAAACACTATTAATCTGTCTTAAGAGTTGATAATGCTGGGAATGTGCCAAATGCTTCAGAGTCACAGCAACTCCCCAACGCTGACCTATTAAGACTAAAATATTGAGATAGAAATACTAACGATGATGTCAACAAAAATAAAGAACTCCTTAGAGGACTTTCTAGTCAGTTTGTAAATAAAATTGTGAATAACGATAGTTGTCACGTCATAGATAAGGACGTTTTTATTTGTATTAGGGAATAATGAGATCTCATTAGATCGTGTAAGTTAATAATTCAGTCACTAATTGATAATCGATTATAGGGATAAATGAATACCTACTTTCTTTGTTAGCCAATGTTCACTTGCTGTGATTACGTTACGTGTTACTTATTTATTGTTAACTCTACGGAATATGTGATAGCTTACTTAACTCAAGTTAATGTTGATTTGCAATATATTTAGTTAATGCGCTTTACACAAACACATTGTGCAATCTTATCGTTTTAGATACAAATCTTGTGTTAGTTGAATCAACTGAATACGTTGTTTTATTGAAATATCAATTTTCGAGGGTATCACATTGGTACACAGGAATTATTAATATTCGCATTTAAATACTAAAACCTATTACTATGTTACTACTCTGATTGTCATATACGTTTCTGTAAAATATTGAGTATGTGTTGTTAAAGAGAATAAAAATAATAAATACCAAGATTATTTCGGTTGTTCTTATTTTCCTTAAACGTAGGGGAAGGCAAAATACCAATATAATTTGTGCATGGCATTCATCCTTGATTACTGGTACCTACGTATCTACCTTGTTATTAGGTACAATATTGCTACCTACTTATTTACAATAATATATTGATATACGAACGTTTTAAATTAAAACATAGGTTCTATAAATGTTATAGGTTCATCGAATAAGCTTTTACCTCATAGCTATTGCACAATTCTACCTTCCTTAACATTTCCTAATGATATCGAATTTTCTTGCAAAATTTTAGCCTTGTACCCTACCTTTATAACTAAGTTAGCCATCCCTTCCTGTTGTCATTTTCCATCACAGCTACAGATGGACGACTTTTCAGATAAATACATAATTATCTACTTACTCAAAATAGATAAACATTGAGTAAATACTGAGTACTAAGTATTTATAAATTTTTATGTACTATTTTTAGTATTCATCCAAAAAATCACCCGTCTATAATCATAACATAATTTCTATAATTAATATAGCATACGTATTATAATACCTATGTCGCGAAGAACCTAACGGGTTACCGGGGCTCCGGCTCGACGTGCAAGAGAAGGAACGGGGTGGTTTATAGTCAGTAAGAGTATGACACTCCCTCCTGCTTCACCCAGGCGGGAGCAGTCATTCGATGATTTTCTTCCCTTGAAAAAAAATACGATACCTATGCTGTTGTATTTAGAGGTACATTTAAATGTTGACACACTGGCCATTAAGAAATTCAAGCAAAGCCCTGTTAGAATAGTAGAATGTTCTGGCTGTTACTGTTTTTCGTTTTTCCTCTAAGAAACCATGATCTGAATAATACAAATACGTACGCGTAGAATATGAATTAAAAAAAAATGCTGTTTTTGTTTCAATTTTCCAAAATTAAAGTAGCGTTACTCCCTAGAACATCAGCTAACAACCAATAAAAGTCCCGTCAAAATTATTTCAACCATTCCAGAGATTAGCCAGTACAAACAGACAGACAGAAACCAAAACTTTAAAAAAATCGGTATGTGTATCGTATGTATGAATATGCATGTATGAAAAGCTATTATTTTAATATTACAAACAGATACTCCCAATTTATTTATCAGAAGATTATTAATTAAAGAAAAATCGACTAAAACCAATGCTGAAAATATTAATATTACCTGGAACGTTTATCTGTATACTCTGTGGAAAATAAGTGTGTCATATGGCAACACAATCTGTCAACTGTCATCAGCACACGCTGTCAGTCCTATCAAAACACAGTGTACAATGCACACGTGATTGAAGTGAATTGTGTTAGAATATTTTAAATTAAAAAGACCACGTTATAACGATGAAGAACCCAAAAAAGGTAATATAAATGCATGTAATAATATATCATCTACTGTTTTTAATTTAGTAGATTGCTTCAATTGCTTGTCTGGTTACACCATGGTTCCATACTAAATTAGAAACTTTAAATTTACAGAATGCTCCAAAACGTTATTTTGATGTTGAAGAAAAGAATTCTGAACAAAAACAAGATGTGGAAGTATACACGATAAAGGTACTCAACAAACGTTTGAATTTTCCTTCTTTAACTTCAAACAAATTATATTTTCAAAATGTAAACAAAATGTTGACATAATTTAGGTTATATTAGCTACGTTTCTATAAAATTCACACAATTAAAATTTAATCTTTCAGAACAATAATAATAAAAGAACAGACAATAAACGTATACAGAAAAGAAAACCAAATAAAAACTTTAAAGGGAAAGCTCCTATAGACCCGGAGAAATTGGAAGCACATTCGCGGGGCGAAGGTGTAGGTAAGGGTGTGAAACACCCACTACATGCTGAAAAATTGAAAAAAAAGGAAAGGAAGTATACTTATGCTCAAGAACAAGCTGCCAGGGCTGAAATATTGTTGACAGAAGACCATGGGTAAGAGAACAAATATATTTATTTTCTTTTAAAAATTACAAATATTAAGACTTATACTCTCTTACCACTATCTCTATGTTATCATCTGACCTTTTTAAATATTCGACTGCCTTTTTACCTTACACTTTATTTTATTATTTGTAATGAGATTAAACTATAAGTATAAGGGATTGCCCTGGTTAAGTGCAAACTAAATGAACCTCACTGGTTAAGTGAGAAATCGTTGGTTAAGCAGTTACTGTTACACTGGTTGATTGTCATTTTCTAAATACATATAAATAAATGTCATAACCTTTTTTATATCTGGTTTTCACCTAAACAAACATCTCAATGAATATAAGAGTATCTTATTTATTTAATTAATTTTAATATTTCAGTGGTTTAGAAGTAGATGAGGATGTAAAAACAACAGCGATATCACAGAAGATCATAGCTGAGAATGTAGACATATCTGCCGCAACTAAAATATTTGAACTGAACCTAGATTTTGGGCCATACAGAGCCAAATATTCTAGAAATGGCCGCCATTTACTACTCGGCAGTAAAAAAGGACATTTGGCAGCTTTTGACTGGGTTACAAAGAAACTGCATTTTGAAATAAATGTTATGGAATCTATTCATGATATCAGGTAAGATTTGTGTTAAAGTATCATTTCATTTTAATTACCTACTGTAGTATTATCTTCTTGACTGCCTCTATACGAGACATAATATCAGAATCAATTAGAGTAGGCATTCATAACATGTGGGAGTGGAAACTATCGTTTTTTTTTAGTCCTCTTATTTATAATATCTTCTGGATTCACTTCGATGTGGGAACCAAGACAGTTATTCATGTCCCTATGACACGCCGGACTTCAGTGTTGCTGGCTGGTTAGCTTACAGGAGTTGCAGCAGTTTCAGGAGGAGGGTTTTTTTAAGGGGCGAAATCATCGAATGACTTCTTCCGCCTAGGTGAGGCGGAAGGAAGTGTCAGACTCTTACTGACTAAAAACCACCCCATCCCTACTCCTGACCTTCGAGCCCCGACAACCCGTTACGTCCTCCGCGACTCCGTATCGGCATCAGCCCTATTTGGCCCCATCCGTGGTGACCTGATGGCTCTTTGAGGCGCGCGCGGAACACGACGAGCCGTACGCTCGGGCAGGAGGAGGTATTGCCCCATTAAAAAAAAATCATAACATGTGGGATCAGTAGTAAACCATGCATGAGGCTTACATACATTTGTGAATCACAATTCTTAAAAAACTGAAGACTATGAAGATGATTATCTATAGGACTTTTCAAATCTTTTATTTGATTTCCCAGTTGGATGCACACAGAAACGATGGTGGCTGCCGCTCAGAAAGAATGGCTATACATGTATGACAACACGGGGACAGAGTTACACTGTGTAAAGAAGATGGATAAGATATTGAGGATGGAATTCCTGCCCTATCATTTCTTACTGGCCGCTGTTGTGAGTACAAATATGTTTTGATTGATTTCAATTTCAAAATCTTCTCATAGATGTAACTAACACTTTTCTGATAACCGCATCAAAATCGGTTCAGCTATTTGCAAGATAATGGCGCACATACATACATACATACACTCCTTCTTTATTAAAGTCGGTTAAAAAACTGTTTCTTGTCTCCAACTTACTGAATGTACTTGATTAGTCTAACTGATAGTGTGTCTACTACTGTTTTAAATGTTATTCTAATTTCAAATTGATTACACTCATATTGCAAAATCCAATATTCTAAAAAAAAGATGATGATCCTTTTGCATGCATGGATGCTACTGTAACAAAATCATAACATAACATCACGCCTTTTATTCCCGAAGGGGTAAGCAGAGGTGCACATTACGGCGTTAATGCTACTGTACAATGTAACACCCACTTTTCACTAATATAATATGTTATGAGTCCCAAGTAATATGGGGTGAGTCTATTACCATCTACCGATCACAATTCCAGACCCCGTGCTACTACTGAGATTTTTTTAAAAACCACAATAGTACTTTACCCGATCCGGGAATCGAACCTGCGACCATTCGGCCTACGAGGCAGTGTAATAAATGTATGAATTCAATAAACAATATTATTTTCAGAACGAATTTGGCTTCATGACATGGCTGGACATTTCCATTGGAGAAGTAGTAGGACACTATAACAATCATTTAGGAAGGACATCAGTAATGGCACAGAACCCATATAATGCTACAATATGCTTAGGAAACTCTAAGGGAGTTGTTTCACTCTGGTCTCCGACTATTAAGGAACCACTGGCGAAGATATTGTGTCATAAAACTCCACTCACTGCTATTGCTGTAGATAATAGAGGAATGTAAGTATTATAATTACACTTTTGAAACATATAAATGCTAGCCATAATCTTTTCTTTATTTATTTTGAATGATTTTAACTAATAGTAAGTAAATAGTATTACAAAATATGTTAAATACTTTAAAATCACAGAAAAGAACATAATTAAAAGTATGATATTAATATGAAAGAGCATTTCTGCTGTAGTTGTGAGTTTTTCATGATCTTATTTGCTTATCAGGTACATGGCTACATCAGGAGTAGACAGAAGTATGAAAATCTGGGACATCAGGAATTTGGACGGGCCTGTGCAACACTACAGACTAAGAAGTGCTCCCGTAGACTTAGAATTCTCACAGAAGGATATGCTCGCCGTCGGTTTGGATGAAGTCGTAGAAATATACAAGTAAGTTGATACTTTTTAAATAATACGCTCTGACGAAAGGCAGCTAGATACGTTAAATACTCATTACTCGTCAATTGGCGAATCTTGCCTTATATGAACGCTATTCCTGGCTGCGTATTTTTACAGACTACCGAAAATCGAAAATATTTAATTTAACAAAGGCTTTATTGAATCCGACACCGAAACAATACCATTTAATATGAGCAAAACCGTATTATCCCTAAGGTTAACAACGCAAGGGCATAAAAACGCCAGGTTATAGGAGGGGTGCCGCAAGACGCGTGCGAGGGCACCGGGACGGCAACACGAAAAAAAATTAGGGACTATGAGGTGCTTGCCTAGTGTGCTCTCTAGCGTTATTTTGACTCGATGAAATATTTTTCTGCGACTTGCAAAAATTAAACGCAATCATAAAGCATTATCATGTGGGTACTTTTTATAAAAATAATATCCATCCTACCGACACATACGGGAAGTAATAGATTACTTCTATGATAATTGTGTTGTTTTACTATTAGTTTTCTTTTAATCCATCAAGTTTTTTCCTGCTGTGACAATATACCGTATTGAAAAATTAATAAAGCATTTGAATTAAAATTGAAAATTTCAAATGCGATTATGAGACTGCCATTATTAATGCCGTTTCGTCGGTGTTTCCGAACACCAAAGTGACTGGTTGTTATCATCACTTTAATGACGCTGTTTGGAAAAGTCCAAAAAAATTAGTTTAGATCAAACTAGGGAAGGGCGAAATACGACTAGGAAGTTTGCGATGATTCCATTATTACCAGCTAATCACATACCTGCTGCGTGGAGGTTTATTTTAGACGAGGCTCCGGAATCTGAAGAAATGAGGCGTTTTCGTCGATATTTTGAAAATCAAAGGTACCCTAAAAATCTCCAGAGTTATTAAGCACTGCAGGACAGCGTCACAGAACGACAAATGCCCTAGAAGGATGGCATCATCGAGTCAATTGCCGCATTCCGAAAAACTCAAACCTATATTTATTTTTATATAAGCTGAGAATGGAAAGCAAGCATTGGGATAGCCAGATGGTAAATTCAGTGTTCAAGAAATTTAGAAATACACGAAGATTACGGGATATTGAATTCGACAGACGATATTCCAAATATATAACGGAATTACAGAACAATAATATAACTATAAAACAGTTTTTTTCGAAAACGATGTACTTGCGTCTTTCCTTGTTTAAGTAGTGGCGTATGCGTGGTAGTGAATAACGTCAGAAAATTATATAAAAGTACAATGTAACACCCACTTTTCCCTATTTATGTTATAAGTCCCGTGTAATAGGGAGTGAGCCTATTGCCATATACCGGGCACGATTCCAGACTCCGTGCTACTACTGAGACTATTGCAGGAATAATGAAAAATTACTCAATATTATGACCTGCTTAAATATCGTGCTATCTCTGTCATATTACAAAGGATTTGTAGAGACAGAACTATACTTAAGCGCGAGTTAAAATTGAGTAACTTTTCAGTATTCGCATATAACATTTAAAAACTATACCTTATCTAAAATCTATCTCTTTTATTTAGCAATTGCTGCTCACAAACAACAGACAGACCATACTTGAGGCATCGGATGGCGAAAACTATAACTAACTTCAAATACTGTCCGTATGAAGATGTGTTAGGAATTGGAACTAGAAGTGGATTCACCAGCATTATTGTACCAGGTAAGATCAAATTTTGCACATTTACTAAAATGACAGTTTCGAACAGAGAAACGTTGTATAATATACACTGACTTACACTAAACTGACGTTCGGTATAAGAATTACTTAAAACATTATCTAATTCTTGAGAGCCAGTATTCGTAGCTAAAAGTGCCTACAACCCGTAACATAATCCTGTATGATATCCTCCTGGACCATCGAAAACAAGTGATATAGCAGAATTAGCAGATATAGTCGCCAAACGCCGAATCCAATTCGAGAAACTTTCCACATTAGAGATGAGAAAATGTAACGTTTACTAACATGACATCGTATTATTTTCCATCATTATGAACGATCGCGGACGTCCCGCGGTAACTATGTAACTGGTTGGCCCAGTAGCTGGGCAAGCGTCTGCCACCCAACGGTTTAATTCCCGCACGGACCAACTCTTTGTGTGATCCACAAATTGTTTTTTCGGGTCGGGTTTGTAAACGCACCCACAACACAAGAGAAAATCCTACTATGAGGCAACGTTAAAAAAACAGCCCATTTGAAAAGGCAAACGAAATATCGTCATGTAATTTTCACCATTTTGCTATTCTTTTACAGGCAGCGGAGAGCCTAACTTCGACGCGTTGGAAAGCAATCCCTTCCAGAACAAGAAACAGAGGAAGGAAGCTGAAGTTAAAGCATTGCTGGACAAGATACCTGCAGAACTTATCACGCTCAATCCATTTGATATCACTGAGGTTGATGTGCCTTCTCTGCAGGAGCAAATGGAAGCCAAGAAAAAGCTTTTGGTAAGGATTAATACAGAGTTCTAACCTTTTCATCCAATAATTAAGATTTTTAAGAGATTCGTGATTGCCGATTGAAAGCTAGCTTGATAAGTTTCATATCGCGATTGCTCCCTTCGCGGGTTTTATTTTAAAACATTTTGGGCTATTTAGAACCGAAAATCAATATAGCGATTAGACAAATGATCTTCATAAGAAATCTTAAGTTCGTAAAAAGGCAATCATTTAAACTGTCAAACACCAAGCGGTCACCGGTGACCGCAACCTATTGTTCTATAATTGTGTCTACAAAACCGGTACTCAACGAGTTAATAATATTGTTTCTTTTCCAGTACCTCAAACCGAAGAAAATGGACTTCACTCCTAGGCACAAGAAGAAGGGCAAGACGCAAATAGCGAGAAAGAAGATTATAAAACAAGCAGCGAGACAGGTAAACAATTTATTTATAACATGTTTGCATTGTTCCTCATTGTCCACATTGAGTGAGCAAGCACAATTTGTGTGTGCCTCAAAATCTACAGATTGCCCTAGTCCTGAAGTAATCTCAACTATATTGAACTAAATATTATTAGTTGTATCTCGAAAAACAATAGCGACAAATCTATTAATATCAAAAATGTTTTTATCTTCCCAGGAGTTCATAGAACAAGCAAAGGAAGCACAGAAAGCACTTGACCTACCACAGCCAGAAACTGCAAAGAAACCTTCATTCGGTGTCCTCGACAGATTTGTGCCAACAATTAAAAATAAGAAATAAAACAAATACTTTGTATACATATATTCTAACAATTTATTTCCTTGCATTTATTTCCAAAATGATTTTTCATATTTACAAAATTTATTTACAATTTTATAGTAAGTATACTTATACAATAAAGTTCAACATGATCAAAAATAGTGTCATAAAAATGTCTTTAAACAAAAAAAGTTCATAAAAATGTCATGTCAAAATACTGCTAGCATGGGATATCATACAAGTCACATAGTCCTTCTGTGCCGTGTAGGGTAAAGGAGAAGTCGTGTTTCGTCACAGGTGGGCTCAGTCTCATGAGATAATCTGAAAACAGATAAGTACATTAAAAAAAAAACTTTCAAAGAGGTTGAAAGATAAAAATCAATTAGTCATAATGCATATCTATGTGAGACATAATGTGTTTTCTATTGTGTCACATAATATGCTGACATACAAGAAGTTAATCAAAGTTCAGTTGGAAAGTGTTAGTGCATGTTTAGTTCTTGTTAGGTGTTTAGTTAATTAGGTGTCCTTGCAAAACAAAAATTAATTAAGTTAATTCAAATCATAGCTGGAGATACTCAAGATTTTAAAACAATTATTTTTTTAAATGAACAGAACTATCCTAAACACTCCCACAACCAAGTTACAATACAAAACAATGTTATTTTAACTCGTTGAGTACCGTCATTATAGACACAATTAAAGAACAATAGGTTGCGGTCACCGGTGTCCTCGCGGTGTTTGACAGTTTAAATACAGATTTTAATTCTAAATAACGTAATACTCACTGCTATATTTATTTTCTTCACTACTGCTTTCTGTAAGTTTCTTAACTTCAGGGTCGTCCATATTTGAGTCATCATCACTTTCCTAAAACAATTAAAGCACATTTTATAACAAAAAGTGTTAAAGAAGGGATTATAAAAACCAGGTACAATTCTTTACGGTTTAAACTTGAAGTGACTTTGTTACAAATCATAGTACATACCTTATCATTTTCATTATCACTTAAAAGTATGACTCCAATTGATTCTGTTGATTTTAAATGTAAATAATAATGTGGCTCTGTCGTCTGAAACAATAAAATAGACAAACATTATTACAGAGGCCATATAAACGGGAACTTTTAGGTGAGAGTACAAAGCTTATGACTCATTAACAAGAGAAAAAAATATACCCGTTGTTTCAACTGTTTGCCTGAATAAAATAAATAAATAAAAAGAATACCATGCTGTTACAATCAAACTCAAACTCAAAAGCATTTATTTTAATTAAACCATAATTTGGTACTTTTGAAACGTCAACAATTATGAGATATATAATAGTCTGTCAGTCTGTCCGTCAGTGAAGCTAGGCACTCGTTCCAAAATGTCGATTCGAGTGGAGAAGAACGAGCAAGAAACTCCAATCGTTACTCTATTAAAAAAAAAAGTCTGTTTTACATTGCTCTGATACATATTCCAATATTGTACACACATGTGAGAATAATGTAAAGACATACCTGACACAACAAACAAATAACAGAACATACTAAAATAAAAAAAATAAAAAAACAAAACAAAACCAAGAGAAAACAAATATCTTAAGTCTGACATGGTCCTCACATATGTATACTGACAATCCATATACAATAGTGCCTAATTTACTAGCTACTAACAGAACAGACTTGAGAACTTTTCGAAACAGTTCTGACATTAACTCGTCGAGTACCGGTTTTGTAGACACAATTATAGAACAATAGGTTGCGGTCACCGGTGACCGCTTGGTGTTTGACAGTTTAATGTTGAAGTATTTAGTTTAACCCAATTACATCGATCAGTAGGTGCATAAATAAAATGTTTTGATTTGTCATAGTTGTGTTGTGTGGGTTGAATTAAAAAGGTACTCACTAAAAATTTGGTTCTCGTTATTCCAGATTGCCGGATTTCAGTAACATACTTTTGCTTAGTCTGCAAATATGAAAATGTATTATCATTAATTTATCAAGTATGTACATTAAGTATAATTATGCTAAGGTCGTCATGCCACTGGTGGATAGAATAGTCCTCTTCATGGCGCACTACTGAGCCAACGAGTAGAAGTAATGGAATAATCTATTATCTCCTTTATTTTGAAGACAAGAGATCAAGGAACAAATTCTAAAAAATCAACTAACTACTTATCAGAAAATAATTTCTGTTACACTTTTTACCACTAGGAAGCCCACCATCATATAATGATATGTGGGAAATCTTATGTTTAGAGGCATGTTACTAAACTATCAAAAGCCCAAACATCACTGTAGGTACATATTATCTACTAGCCACTTCCGCGGATTGCACCCGCTCTGCTCGGCTCCTATTGATTGTAGCGTGATGTTTTGTAGCCTATAACCTTCCTCAATAAATGGACTATCCAACATTATAAGAATTATTGAAATCGGACTGGTAGTTCCGGAGATTAGCGCGTTCAAACAAACAAACAAACTCTTCAGCTTTATATAGTAGTATAAGATTGATACGAAGATCCAACGTTGTCACTGGACATGGCCCTCTCATTTTAAGGGTTTTTTTTAAGGGGGAAAAATCATCAAATGTCTTCTCCCGCCTGGGTGAGGCGGGAGGGAGTCAGACTGTTACTAACTAAAAACCATGGCGTTCTTTCTCCTGCACTTTGAACCGGAGCCCCGGTAACCCGTTAGGTTCTCCACGACGTTTTTAAGGGTTAGGTATGAATCAAACTACCTGAATATTTGTAAATAGAAGCATAGACACATATATCTACACAGGTGTACGGAGAACACTTTCAAAAAATGAAGACAAGTGATAATAAAAACGAGTTCTAAGTTAAAAAAAGAGTAATGAAATATTATTTTACCTATAATAGTTGTAATCTACTACTCAAGGTTGATGTTGCATGAGTATCATGAAAACTAAAACAATTAAAGTTGAAAAAGCAAAAACATGTCTGTGTTTTCGAAGCATTCTGTTTACACCCTGCTATATAGTCATTATTATACTTACGGGTGAAGCGCCAACTGATAATTGGGCACCTAGTGGTGCTTCTAACACGAGAATTTGTTCATCTATAATACAGTCACGTATATCTTTATTCGTAACATAACATCGCTTGCTATTATCTGTGTCATCCAACACATTTTTTATACTTTGTTCAATCCAATGTAACTGTCTGGAAACAAAGAAAATATCATTGTTTTAAGTCTAATGAAAGGAGAAAGTACAACTTTATTTACATTGTGATGCATGCAAAATACAAATAAACAATCAAAATGAGTGGTGGCCTAAAGGTGAGGGCTTTTTTATACAGTGCTTCAACTTACTATAATGTTATGAGAGCAGGTAACCAATAATAATGTCAATAATTGAATTATCAATTAAACATTCAGGGTGCAATTGCATATGGATACAACAATGTTACTATCAAGACAGCGTAATGACATTGAGAAGTGTGTAATCGTATCAAATACTTACTTATCAAGTAATCTCTCCTGATCGTCTAGGCGCGCAATCTGTTTTCGCAAATGTACAACTTTATTACCAATATCACTTGTTTTGCATTCCGGTCCTGCACCCCTGAAACATAGTTATAAATAACAAACAAACGAATCAAAAGTTAACGAATCACAAATAAACAATAAAAAGTTCACCCACTTCCATTGTATACTGTTCTTACTTCTTTTCTCAATAAGCCCGATCCCTTCCAACACATTAGTTATGTCATATATTCTTCTCTTCTGTCTAACAGCTAACAAGTTTGTCGCCTAGAATAAAATTATACAATTACTACGAATTACGTTCAAAATATTTATTTTTCGTGCCCAAATATTCACTTGACAGATCAATGGGAGGCAAATTATGCTACACTCACGATTTTCAAATCCAAAACACCATCTTTGGCTTTTTGAAGCAAAGACACGAATTTCGTTGTGAGTAAACCCAAAGACTTTTCATGTCTTTTAGATTTAAAGTCTGCCATTGCCTGCATTTACACTAAATTTTTATAATTTCCTCTTCAAATGCGGTGATTTCTACAGAATTTTGCGTCGCGGCGGGATATTATGTTGGTAGCATTGCGACGTAAGCAACTTTTTTTAAATGAACATCCACAGATTAGAATAAAATAACCTGTCATGGAGATCTAACTTTTAGTCGATTACACACTAGGCTGTATTTTGGGCTTTGAAGTAATCATTATTTCCTTGCCTTACATAGCTGGTATATTTTTGTAAAATACTTACTACAAATAAGAATAATAAACCAAATTGTGGCCTGATTATTTTTTCTGTTTTCTTAAATTACGTATGTGAAACGATTTTAGTATTATTATGAATCGACTTCTTAGGTACTAAATGCCCACAATAATTTTTAGTACCCACGATTTATTAGTTTTAAATAAAATGTTAGTAGAAATTCTGCTAACAATCGTGTAACAATCTGCTACTGGGTATCAGATCAGGGATAATAATAAAATGCATGAGTCATGGTCATTGTCAATCCATGGCAACGGGTAGGCATGATGGTGTTATTCATAAAAAAAAAAGTTTAAACTTCGAATTTTTGTCGTTAAATACCGGCGTAACTTGTTGAATTTGTGCGCTTGCACACCTGTAGCCTGCTGTAAGGCAGGTTGTTGTACCCAAGTTTTTATTACCCATTGAATATAGGTCCTGCCTATTTCTCAACAAAGAGAGAAACAGAGATTAGAAAAACTAGCTTTTAAAAGTAGTTTAAAATATCAAAAGATACCTATTACATTCGAAAGAAATTAAGTGGGAAACAAAAATCGTCTTCATCATTAAACTTGACGAAAAAATCTTATTTGACTCAGTAAGTAGGTTTAGACCGCTCACTCTGAGTGGTATAAAATACTTTGATGAACGAAATATAGAAGATTAAAAAAACTTGATTTAATAGTAAAATAGTTAAATTATTATGTTTTCGGCTTACTCGCGTAATAGGGTAGATGCCTAATTTTAATTTTAATGTCCTCCTTGTACCCAGGTTATTTTAAATAATTAGACAAGTAATTTTTTATTTTATTTTTTTCTAACAGAAATGAATACTTTCTATTTCAACGATATATATTGATTTGAAACGTCACGTGACGTCACTTCTATGTACATTTTATACGTAGAAATGACGTTTAGCCCCCGCTCCTAAACTTTGATTTGTTTTATTTAAGTATTGTTTTATTATACGACAAAATAAAAAAATACGTGTCTAATATTTTTCCATTACCCTACTTACGGACTAATTAGATTTTTAATTTTCATACTCTGTCATCATCCCAATTGCAATTGATTGCAATAATTACGTGAGTAAGCCGAAAACATAATAATTTATTTAGTATGTAACACGAAAGTTATAATACAAATATAGTAAAATAGTTTATTCCTAATATCTTTTACTAAATATTTCCTTTAACAATTCACATTTTTCTCTTTCAATCTGTAGTGTTTCTCTGTATTCTTTTTCTTTTAATTCTATCTTTTTCAATTCTAGTGTTTCTTTTATTTCTAACTCTCTTCGTCTTAGCTCTAATTCTTCTTCTCGCAGTTTCAAATTTCTGTCATAGATTTCATCTCGCCATTGCTTTTGTTCTTCTTGTCTCTGCAAGTATTCTAGCCATTGTTTTTCCAATTGAATTTTTCCTTGGAATCTATCACTCTCTATTCTGTTGGCCAGTCTTATTTTTCTCATCTCAATAACAGCCTTGCTTTCTTGATTCATTTTTGAATTTTGATCGCTTCCGTTTATTCTATTATCTTTCTTTTTATGTAAAAGTTCAGTTAATGCGTAGGAATCACAGTCAACATGGTACTGTGAATAAATGTCATTCATGATTTTAAAATATTTGAATTTGTCATGGTGTCCGCTATCTACACACTGTTTATACTTCTTGGTAAGGGCATTTATTTTCCATCTTACTTGATCTGGTGTCATCTGAAAGAAAATTAATTAGTGAATATTTAATCCTTATTAGACTCATTGATTAGAGTGAATGGGATGTACATACCTCAATTCCATATTCACTTAAACTTTGAGATATAGCAATCCAGATCCTGGTTTTCTTCTTTGGTGTTTCTAACATTTCTAATTTACTTTCATATAATTTTAAGAGAGTTGTGGTGGCATTCAATGTCCATACTGCACCTGTTAATGATAGGTAACAAAATTCATTATCATATTCATGTCAGCCACAAGACATCTTGTACTGAAAATAGGGTTTTCTCAAAGAATTGGAGATTGACTGGTAACTATAGGTATACTTACAAGGTTTTTCTACACCATCACTTAGTTTACCTTCTATATTTCGAGTATTCACATCACTAGTGCTTTCACAGATTTCTAAGTTATCTTGAGAAGCTAAAACAAATACATAATTTTAAATAGTTTCTATGAGTATTGATTACTTTTCATGCCGCAATTTTGTTTAGCTGTTCTTTGTGTGGAACATTACACAGGCACAAATAGAATATTTTGATAGTTAAAGAAATATTCTCTTGCCTTCTTCCAAAATGCAGTACGACGCGTCAGCAGCTTCGCAAACATCCATTTCGAACGATTATTTATTTTCTACAGAAGTTTTCTTTGAAATCATTTAATTATTGATTAATCACAAAATTATGGGCTAAATCTAGACAATTTCATAGAGATTTAGTAGTAATAGTAATCTTTATTAAATATTCATCTTATATAAATTATAATATTAAAAATATGATATTTTATTTCAATAAAAACAAACAGCGAAACAATTTTGACATCTCGTTGACGGATGTCTGAATTTATTGACACTTGACAGATGCTCCAAAACCAGCTGACATATGATAATGTTCGGGTTCTGTACCATACACTTTAAGCATTTTAACGTGTACTCTTTTCGTAACATTGCTCCATTTCAGTCGCCTATTGTCAATGTCATATGTCAACAATAAACAATGTTATTGTCGGCACGGCACTCGATAAGATCTTTTTGCGGATTTTATGATTTAAATAATAATAAATGTTGTTTATTCGTCGAAATACATTATTGAGATAACATGGATAAACAAAAACTTGTTCTTTGGTTAAGTGAAACAGCAGTAAGTAGCGATGAAAGTGATTCTAGTGAATGGAGTGATGTTTGTACTGTAAAACAAGATGTTTCTGAAGATGAGGACATGAGTGATGCTGATGAAGATACTCTCTTTTTTCCTTTAATGCAATATTTAATAAGACTGAGACGGAAACGAGTAGATGATTATTTACACATCATAGACTCATGGACAGACGCAGAATTTAAAAATAGGATGAGATTATCTAGAAAAACTGCATATCGGCTCATTGGTAACTGCTTACTGCTGAATGTAAATTACAAATATATTTACAAAAATGCCTAAAGGTGGTATTGTAACAAAAAAATATTAATTTGTTTCAGATGAACTGGAGAAATCAGGATTTATAGCCTCTCATAAGTTTGGATTAAAACCATTGGAACCTAAGCTTTGCTTCTATATATTTTTATCTTTTATTGCAAATTTAGAACCACTTACTCCAATCGCAACAAGATTCGATATTTCAATCTCATCCACATTCAGAGTTATAAGGAGAGTAGTTGCATGGATCCTTACAAAATTAAATGACGCTATAAAATGGCCTCAAACATTTGAAGAAATTAGTTACATTTGTGATGCATTTCACAATAAGACTGGAATTACCCATATGGTAGGAATAATTGACTGTACACATATTAAAATAGAGAAACCCAAGAATGCAAGAGAATATTGCAATCCTAAAGGATACTTCTCTGTGATTCTTCAAGCTACAATAGATGCAAATCTTAGATTTACTAATGTTTTTTGTGGAGAACCTGGGTCTTCTAATTGTACTAGAGTTCTCAAGAAGTCACCATTGTATAATACAGCATCTCAAAACAGAAATGCTTTATTCCCACACAATACTTTCTTAGTTGGACATTCTAGTTATCCTTCTTTACCATGGCTAATGCCACCATTTAGAGAAAATAAAAGATTAACACCACAACAGAGGGAATTCAATTCCTTGCATTTATCTACTAGAAAATTAAGTGATAAAGCATTCAGTCTTCTAAAGGGAAGGTTTAGGAGAATAAAACTATTTACTGTGTATAGAAATATAGCCTTTATAACAGATACCATTGTAGCTGCATGTATTCTACATAATTATTGTGTTGAAGAAAATGATCTCTTGGAAGAACATGAATAAATACAATTTTGGATTTTCACAATTTCAATTGATTGTAAAAAAATTAAAATGTAAATGAAGTATTATCATAAATTAGTTTTATAAAAATTTGGTCTCATACACAAGAGTTGAATTCATGTGAAAAGGTATATTTATATTGCATATTTCATTTTATAAACGAAACTTAAGCAGCTCAATAGAATTTTGTTTTTATTGCCTCATTAAATCCTGATCGGCTACCAACTTTCTCAGGAGTGCACACTTTTCCCTTTCGATTTTTAACATTTCCTCTTGTTTTTGTTCTTTGAGTTGTAATTTTTTTAATGCTAATGACTGCTTTATTTCCAGTTCTTTTTTTCTTAATTGTAATTCTTCTTGTCTCAGCCTTAAGTTTCTTTCATATCTTTCATCTCTTAATTGTTTTTGATCTTCTTGTTTCCTTAAATAGTCTAGCCATTGTTTATCTAATTCTATTTTTGCCCTCCTTTCTGCTCTCAACCGTCTGAAAGGTGTTGAACTTTTGAGGGACATATTTCTTTTATTTTTATCTTTGTCTAAGTCGTCTGAACCTTGCACTACACCTGAAGCCAGTCTGTAAGTTCCAGTATTATCACTGTATCGCCCCAGAATTTGATGCATTTCATTAAAATATTTAAAACTCATTGCCCCTTGTCCATTGTCAATGCAGTCTTTGTACTTCTTTGTAAGAGCATTTATTTTCCATCTGACTTGGTCTGCAGTTACCTGGAATATAAAATTGTTTTATACCCTTCAATACTCTTATAGGCAACTAAAAATAAACTACAGATTTAACATTAAACACACCTCAACATTTAATGATTTTAATTCCTCTGCTATTGAAAGCCACATTTTGGATTTCTTTTTTGGGTTGTCGAGCATATGCATTTTTGTTTCGTATAGACTTAAAAGCATTAGTGTTGCATTTTTTGTCCAAATTACATCTGCAATGTGAAAAACATAAATCAGTAAATGATGGAGAATAAATGGAAATTCGTTTACATAAACAAATTGAAGTTTGTACATACTTTGTTTATTAGTTTCATTTACATCAGTTTCTTCTTGAGTTATGGTATGACTGTGGGTATAGGTTGTCATTGTCATGTTTGGTTTGTATGCTGCAGCTGAAATATGGTAAATTTTAGAAGAAAAAAGATAACACCAATCATATTAAATCCTTTACTTGACAACTTTGTTTCTTTGTTTACTCACATTGGTTGTCCAAAATAGCCAAAACAGCAACATTGCTATCAATGTTTTCATCCATTTTGTGTCGACTATTTGGGCGTTTTCCAACTAGTTACAGAAAGGACACAGTAATATTTTTTAAACTCCCATTTATGCAGACTTAGTTGGCTGTGCCTAAGAAATTAGATTTCAAATATATTCCACTTTATGTATAAAATTTGATTCACTTGCTGTTATGCCTCAATATAGCAAATGAGCAGATTAAAATAATTATTAAAAAATTGATCTTCCAAGTCTTCCAACACAGCGCTCTCGAATTCGTAATGTCAAAATTATTTGACAATTGCTTATGACCACAGATCAGTCAGATGGTGTTTCGAGAGTAGAAATATATAAATATTCATATCCATAGCAAGAATTTATCATATTTTGAGCATTATTTCTTCAATAATCGACTAAAAGTTTGGCTTTGTTAATATATTAAAAAAAGTTATTTAAAAAATGAATTAAAGCCAGTTGTGAAAAACGATTATTGGTTAAATTCATCATAAATTATTCGTTAAAATTGTGTTAAAACTATAGCGAAAATAAATTACGTTTCGATTGGTTTCGATAATACGTTTACTTTTGATAAATGTGGTCTATGCGTTTAAAAATGACATTGGCAGTTTATGTTTGCTTGACATGACATTCGTTTGCTCGGTGACGTGACGTGACATCGGGCGATTTGTGCATTTGCAAAATTGCATTTAAAAAATAAATTAAATAAATGTTATTTTAAAATAAATCATCCACATTTACAATACTAACATAAAAATGGCCAAGTGTGGTGACTTTATCAAAAGTCAATTCCCGCTTATTGATGAAGAATTGATGAAATATGTTGAAGGTATGTTTTGTGTAGGTTATAAAGAGAAATATTATTTTTATTTTTAATAATGACTGTATTGCTTTTTACCGCTTGATTTAGAGTTATTTTAAGGGATGTATTAGGCGTACAACCGTTGAATGATCACCGATTACTATAACTTATTTTCGTGTTTAACATTTGACAGTTAATTAATTTGGTTTCTTCCAGACATACTGGACAGCAGTGCTGGTGAGTTTGAGGACACGGAGGAAGTCTTCGAGGCAGTAGGAGAAGTACTCCAAGGAATCTCTGAAAAATCCGAAAAAGATATAAGGTTCATTCACTTTGCTCTTATATTATCATAATATTGCACAATTATTGTTAATTAGGAAACAATAATACTAGTTGTCGTTATGTGAATTATTACACAATTGAAATGTAACAGAGAGCACAATATTGTTGACAGTGTTAAAATATAATAAAAATATATACATTATTTTATAATAAATATCATGAGACATACTAAATTATATATATAAATACCTCTGTGGTTCGAAACTAGTAGAGTATATTTTCTCAGTATATTCACATGTGTAACCTGCATTTTTAGTTGACATTATTTTAGTTGAATTAGAATTTTTAATTGAAAAGAAATTATATCAAGGGGTAACGGACTATTTGGTTTAAGCGACATTTTGGGCGATATTGAGTTATATATATATTCGGAATCAGCGAATTTTTCTCCGTCGAATATATATAATAACTCAATATCACCCAAAATGTCGCTTAAACCAAATAGCCCGTTACCCCTCGATAT